GTTGCCTACCCACCGAAGTAGTACCTATTTATCTACTTGCCATTTCTTGCTTTCGAACTGCTAGGTTGGCAGGAGCTGGAACTAGAGACGGGAGCTCACTCTGTCATGCGGCAACTCGGGTCTTGACCTGCTGAACTACTGACCTTCCGCAGCCTGCAGTTCAGCGTCTTAACCACTTGAGCCACCGCAGCTCCAAGAACAGCATTAGGGATGCTCAAACACCCCCTGGTTCAGCTCACCTCCCAAATTGTTCCAACAGCTGTTCATTTGTGCCACTTCAGCATCAACAGGAAACTTCTCCCTGTGCCCCAAGCCTTGCATGCACTCAGCAAAAAGATGAGAGGCTGATGCATCTACCCCCCCCCCCAGCTTCTCCCTGAGCCTCTGTCTTGCAGGGGGGCCGCTTGGCATGGGAACTGCTTCTGTCTTTTCCCCCACCCCAACGGAGGGGAAGAATTGGCTTCTCCTCACTTGGAGGGAGCAAATGACAAGCTGATTGCTTTGGGCCCTCCCCACCCAAAGGCTCGGGAGGAAACAGAAGAGATGGGCATCGTATCTTCCTGCTTGCAAGCAGGGGGCTTAGAGGCTGATCGATCACTCCTCTCCGCCTCCACTCCAAGCTGGGGGGCAGGCGGGTTTGTTTCTGACTCTCCCCTGAAACTTTCCTGCAAGTAAAGGACACAGGGAAGTGCTCGAAGATCAGAACCTGGCTCCCAGATGTCCCCCCAATCAGCTGAGAGTCAGTTTCTGACCAGCAGAGAAACCGGAAACCTGTCTGACAGCTGTTCCGGTAGTTCGATGCAATGGCGTCCAGTCTTGATCAGCTCACAGTCTGATCATGAGTGCCGAACAGGGTGTGTGTGATCACCACCAAATACCTAGATCATCGTAGAAGTAATACAGGAGGACGAGCATCGAGCAGCACATGACCACGAACACGCAGATCATGACCGGGCTGACGTCAACCGTCTCATCTTCGTGCTTCTCAGCCCCGTCATCTCGCTTGTGCTTCATGTACCGCCTGGAAGAGAAGCAGAAACAGCCGTCAAGCCCGGTTTCCTTTACCGCAATGAGTAAGCGTAGGCTGCCAATCCCATGCCACCGGTCTACAGGCCCATGGCAAAAAGGCTCAAGGGACCACTTGCCAGAGGTACATCAAGACAGAATCTTTGGAGTGGACGTAGCATTAACAGTGAAGTGGCTAGCTGGCACGCAACAGGAGAACCCTTCTGCAATTGCCTAGCAATATCAAAAAACCATGCTGGTTCCCTCATCTGACCGAGGACATGGCTCAGTGGCAGAACACCCCACCAGAACACTGAAGGTCCCTTGAGCCAGTTCCAGGCAGTAGAGATCGGGGAAGGGTTCTCTTGGTCCAAGAATCTGGAGAGTTGCTGCCCTGAAATAAAATACTGAATTAGACAGTCTGTAACACTGACCTCGATGTGAGACAGCTTCATACCTTCCGAAGCAAAAATCCACTGCTCCAAGAGGCCATCACTCACTGGCCGAGCTTACCCTTTGTACGCGAAAGTCCCCCAGGTTCAATCCCTGGAAGCCCCGTCAGTTCAAGGCTCTTAGTTTGGTGTAGTGGTTAAGTGCGCGGACTCTAATCTGGGACAACCGGGTTTGATTCCCCACTCCTCCACCTGCACCTGCTGATTTGACCTTGGGTCAGTCACAAGCTCTGGCACAGCTGTCCTTGAAAAAGAGCAGTTTGTGTCAGAGCTCTCTCAGCCCCACCCACCTCACAGGGTGTCTGTCGTGGGGAGGGGAAGGGAAAGGAGTTTGTAAGCCGCTCTGAGACTCCAAGTGAAGGGCGGGGTATAAATCCAATCTCTTCTTCTCTTCTTCTTCTTCTTAGTAAACAGTTACTGGGAAAGCAGAAAAGAGCTGGAGTCCAGGAGCACCTTAAAAACTAACAAAATTTGTGGCAGGGTAGGAGCTTTTGTGAGTCACCGCTCACTTCTCCAGATCCAGCGAGAATGTAAGTATGTGAGATGTACTCACATTCTAGCTGTATCTGAACAGGTGAGGGGTGACTCACGAAAGCGCCTACCCTGCCACAAATTCTGTTAGTCTTTAAGGTATCTGAAGAAGTGAGCAGTGACTCACGAAAGCGCCTACCCTGCCACAAATTCTGTTAGTCTTTAAGGTATCTGAAGAAGTGAGCAGTGACTCATGAAAGCTGACACCCTGCCACAAATTTTGTTAGTCTTTAAGGAGCTACTGGACTCCAGGTCTTCTCTACTGCTACAGACAGACTAACACGGCTACCCATCTTCAGTTATTGGGAAAGACCTTTCTCTGCCTGGACATCAGAGAGCTGATGCCAGTGCGAAGAGACAGTGGTGATGCTGGAAAGTGCTGTCAAGTCACAGCCGACTTATGGCGACCCTGGAGGGATTTCAAAGCAAGAGATGAACAGAGGGGGGTCTGTCGTTGCCTGCCTCCGCGTAGCGACCCCAAGACTTCCTTGGTGGTCTCCCATCCAACTACTAACCAGGGCTGACCCTGCTGAGTTTCCATAATCCGATGAGATCCGAGTTAGCCTGGGCCATCCAGGTCAGAGGAGATGGTACACTCGGGCTTAAACAGACCGGATGGTCTGGCTCAGAGTAAGGCAGCTTTGTACATCCACCTGCCTCCAAACTATGCCAGCAGCCAGGTGGGGGCTGAACCACCCCCACAAGGAACAGACGCATCCGTAAGTGCACTGCGCAGGGACTTGTATGAGGAGGGAGTCAGAAAAGGATCTGTAATTGGAGCCCCAGGCTCAGAAGTGAGGGGGTCCTGGTCATGGGGGGAGGCATGGGGGTCATCAGAGATGCAAGCGAAGGGAGGACTGCAAAGCGTTCTGCAATATAGGCAGGATTCCGGAGAAACTGACACACACAGCCAACAGAGGAGGCTGAAATTCGAGTGATCAACAGATCCACAGGCTGCTAGTTGTTTCGGAAAAGCCAGGTCTGATCATGCTTTACAAAATGGAAGCCCTAACATGTTATAGAATCACAGCGTTGGGATCTCCAGAGTCATCTAGTCCAACCCCCTGCACAATGCAGGAAATTCACAACTACCCCCCCCCCACACACACACCCAGTGTCCCAATGATACTGAATGTCAGGTGTCCCGATGACACTGAATTAGCCAGGGAGAACACTTCTCTAATGGCTGGAGTGACCCCCCCCCCAGCCCCACGCCACTCACTTTTTTACATCTCTGCTTCCAGCCCAGTAGCCGCCGACTGCCACTGTGCCCACGGCCATGATAAAGATGATCACCATGTTGTAATCCAAGACCGGCTCGCTGGGGGCGTACATGGCCACCTTCACGGACCGGCCGAAACTCTGCAGCGGCACAGAGGGCAGAAAAAGGAAGGAGACAAGAGTTGCTGGCCAGACAGACAAGTCAGCAGTAGCGGCGAGCCATCCTTTGCTCACCCCTGCAAGGGGTCCATGGCGGGACCTGTATGTAACTCTGGCAATCTCTCCCTAGGTCACAAGGCATCTTCTCTGGGGAAGGTGGTGTGAGTCATCCATATCCTGCAATTCTGTTACTACTTAGACAGTTAAACTGGTCTTCTGGACCACTTCAATTATCCCCTCTTTTTTTGGTATTTTTTTAAATATGTGCATGTGTGTGCGTATGAGTGTGTATGCACCTGGAAGTCATGGCGACCTCTGGTGACTGAACCCTATTAGGGGCCTGGAGGATATTCAGAGAGGTGGCTGAATAAAGCCTGCCCCCGCCTCCCAACTGCCGGTATTCCAAGAAGGTCTCCCATCCCATCCCAACCCTGCTCAGCTTCCAAGATCTGACGAGATGGGGCTTGCCTGCGCTATCCGGGTCAGGGCCAATGATCCCTTTTTTTAAGCGGAGGGGGAATGGATTGCAGAAAGACAATCAGAAGCGGCACGTAGGGTTCAGCATCTCAGCGAGAATCAGATCTGACTCGTGGCCAGACTTCCTACGCCGGGTACTCACAATTAAGGCAGCAGAAACAACACAGCCAAATGCCAAGCCCGATGTGTCTGCTTTCCCACAAATCAGCTGTTTACTAGCTCTCATAACTCCAGATAATTATGAATCCCCAAGACAATATATGAAGGTCTGCGAGGCTGGGGTGTAACTAACTGAATAAGAAGGCATCAAGCCAGCCCTGTAGCTAAGCAGACATCAGGACTGTCTCCGTGCTAGAAGGGAGAGGCTGAAGGCTGAGCTCCCAGCCACAAGACAGTGCAGAACTCACCCCACCCGCCTAACTCCCTTGCTAGGGAACCTCCCGTCCCGATCGGCTCAAATCCCTCCCTAGCAACAAGAGGTCCCTCGGCCAGCACAGCCTTTGGAGAGATGTCACCTCCACGCCCCATCCTGCTGTTGATGGTGGTTTCTAACGTCCAGATTGGCAACCGAGGCCCCTTCTGAGAGATTGCCATTGTGCCTGTTGCCCCCCACCCTCTTCTTATTGCCCCCCACCCCCTTCATGGGGTGGCCTGTCTGAGAAGCTCAGGGAGGCTCCCGACCCTGGTGGTTCACAGACTCTGTAAAACAGAATTGTTCAGGAGTGCATTTCTTACAAAGGAAATAAGGCTGCAGTATAATGGAGTGGCCCAGGAAGGCACTTTTGTAAAGGAACCGGGACTGCAGGCTGTGCCACTGTTCTGGCAGAGGTCCCCAACGTGGTGCTTGTGGGCACCATGGTGCTCACCAAGTGTTTTTAGAGAGTAGGTGGAGATGGGCGGGGCTCCTGCCCAATAGGGCTTCTGATTGGCCACTGGAGATCTCATTGGACTTTGGTTCCGCAGCTGCTCTTACTACATTGTTCTGTTTTTGTAATTCCATTTTCCACCCCACTCAACAAATCACATCTCAATAGATTTTTCTGCCATCATCTCTAACTGTTGTAATCCTAGTCCTATTGCATTGCTTATTCGGTATCTCACCCTATTTTGACTGCCTTGCTTCCCATTGCACAATCCGCCTTGAGTCTCTGCGAGAAAGGCAGGCTATAAACCAAATAAGCAAATAAATAAAAACTAGTTGCTGGCCAGGAATATACATGTCAGGAGCTGTGGTGGCTCCAGTGGTTAAGACGCTGAACTGCAGGCTGTGGAAGGTCAGTAGTTCAGCAGTTCGAGACCCGAGTTGCCGGATGACGGAGTGAGCTCCCGTCTCTAGTTCCAGCTCCTGCCAACCTAGCAGTTCGAAAGCAAGAAATTGCAAGTAGATAAATAGGTACCACTTCGGTGGGAAGGTAACAGCGTTCCATGCGCCTTGGTGTTTAGTCATGCCGGCCACATGACCACGGAAATGTCTTCGGACAGCGCTGGCTCTTCGGCTTAGAAACGGAGATGAGCACTGCAACTCTAGAGTCGGACTCGGCTGGCTTTCGAGCAAGGGAACCTTTACCTTTACCTAATATACATGTCAAGGCAGTTCTCTGTGGCTAGGGAGCCCATGATAGATGCACGTTCCACCCCACTCTCCACCCCACAATTAGGCACAAGGACTTCCCAGATCCCATGAAGACTTGCTGCCAAAGGGACATGCAGCTAACTACTCTAAAGCAACAACGTTGTGGAATGTGGGATGGACCAAACTCTTACCTTGCCGATATCCAGCATGTCAGCATAGCTCAACAGGGCCACAGGAATATCGATCTCTTCATACTGACTCCGGTTACCAGCAGGGGGAACCTGGTGGAGGAACAAAAGGAGTGAGGGAAGCCGGGGAGGGAAAACGGCAGCGCGGACACAACATGGCTGTTCACAGGCCAGGCCAATCAGATCCACGCTCCAGGCCACGGCAACCTAAAACGGTGCACGGGAAAGCACGCAACTCAGAACCAGTCATTCCAACAGTCTTCGCCTCTACCTGGAACCCGCTGGATTTACTTCATTCCAAGCTGAGTACTTTCAACTGTTCCAGAGTGATCAAGAGGCTGGAGCACATTCCTTGCAAGGAAAAGTCAAGGCTTTTAAGATCAGGGGGAAACCCGTGGGGTGGTGGAAAGAAAGAGAACTTTCTCATCCCCTACATGAATTAGGGGCTGCTGCTGAAGAATAGATTTGAGACAGAGAAAATAAAGTGTTTCTTTACATAATGCTTAAGTAACTTGTGGAGCTCCTTAGCTGGCTCTTAAACAGAGAATAAGGTCCGAAGGACAGGACTGTCAATGGCTGTTAGAGCCTCCGTGCCCAGAAGCAGTGTGCGGAAGAGGCGACTGGCGTAGAGATGTGAAGGCCCGGAAAAAAACTGGAAAAATTCAGGGAAAAAATGGTTTTTTTCCGTTTTTTCCCCTGAAGATTTTTTGTTTTTTTCCGAAAAATTGGAAAAATTGAAAAAAGAAAAGAAAAGAAAAAATGATTATGGAACGTTTTATTTTAACATGATGAATAAAATATTTTAAGACAAGGTGTTCAAATATTTTCCAAATCATTTCTAAAATATATATATATGGTATCAGATTGATCTAATTTCTGTGCACTGAGGACAAGCCAGTCCTAGGTTACAAACTGAACTCTCCAATGCAAGATGCATTTCTTCCTTTAGGAGGTGCTATTGTCAGAAGAAAATAAAAAGGTTTCAGTTTTGTTTTTGCATGTGGGTGGGTATTCTGTTTGTAATAATTGTTTGGATACACTATATTTTTAATATGCTAGTTGTGATAATTTCATGCCAAATAAGGAAAAAACCCGGGTTTTTTTCCGAGCTTCAAAATTTCCGGAAATTTTACATCTTTAGGCAGAAGAAAGCTTAAGGGCCAACACTTGCATTCCCCTTTTTGGCTGGCCACTAAGTGAAACAGGAGACTGGACAGGAGGGACTGGGCCTGATCCAGCAGGGCTGCTCATCATGTCCTTGCAGAGGAGGAGCAGGTTGGATGAGCAAGGAGCTGGCTGGAGGCCTGGAGGAAGAGGGGGAGGGCGGCTGGGTGGCTGAGCAAGAGCACACAAGCCCCAGCCTCAGAACAAACAGTGGGGCTTTTTGGCAGGCTGCTGGCACACTTCCAGAGGGAAAAGCGATATCCCACAGGGGACCTCGGAAGCAGCACAGAAATCACAGAAGATTAATAACTTCCAAAGAATTCCAATAATTCACAAAAGGGGCTTGGAAAGGAACGTTAACAACTCTGGAAGAGAAGTCATGCGGAAAGTAAAATACCTTCGGGAGGAGACGGGTTAAAAGGAAAGGTACAGAAGTGGAAAACGGGAAGCTTCACATCCTAGATAAAGTCAGGCCGAGGACTTAAAAATCTGCCCCCCTCACCGCTGATGAGACAGACCTCCCACACAAGACTGTTTTCGTGAGATTTTGGAGGAGGTTTAAACGAGCAGGAAGGACAGACTGGAGACTCCTCACCATTTTTTTAAAATATGGGGATCAGAGGGATGGATTGTATACATGACAGATATGGCAAGGAGAGGTAGAGAAAAAACGGTTTATTTGGTGCTCACCGACACCTTTCCTGGTGCCCACTGAGTGTTGCCCAGCATGGATTCTGATAAGCTGTGCATATCCAAGAAAGGATTTTAAAACAATACGTTCATTTTAAGAGGCATCCTGCTAAGTACACCATCTGTTTGAAATGCTGAACAGTTACTATTAGAGGCATGCTTAACCTCACTTCCTGACATTTTGTGGTGGGCTCCACCTCTCACAGTGGCCATTTTGTGGCTGCACCCACCACCCTATGCCGGAATTCAAAAGGTTCCTGCAGCCTAGAGAAGGTTGGGGGATACCTGATTTAAACAATGCCCAAGGTGGTTAAAAGCCCCCCAACAACCCTTCTGAAACCTAATTCTGGCAACCTGGAAAATTCAGGAAGGACTGCACTTGACGGTGTAAAATTACTCTGAAATCTTATAGAAAGCAGAAAGACTTGGGTGCATGTGTGTGTCCAGGAGTGCAATCTAGGAAGCTGGAAAGCACATTGCTCCAAGGGGAAACACACAGCTCTGCCCATCTCCCCAAATCCTCTTCCTCCCTACCTCTTTCATGTGGAAGGAGCTGCTCAAACTCTGCACCCAGACAGGCACCAAATCAAGACGCCTACAGCAATCTGTGCAAATACCACAGACCTTTCTGGTGATCAAGGTGAACGTTCGGCATCAAAGCCTGTGAATTTCTGAGACCCCTTTTTGAAGAATACAGTGTTATGGCATAGGAGAACTCTCCCAGTTCAGGATCAGAAGTTCAGACTGTGGTTCCTCTGTAGGTCTTATTGGTGCACTGTTTAATGTGATGCTATTTGGCCTAGGAGAAATTTCAGGGTCTTCCCCACAATCCCAGCATTGGCCATGCATGGCACACTAGATAAAAGATGTGCTATTATACATGACCTGGATACGTCCTGACTTGGACGGCCCAGGTGGGCCCAATCTCATCATATCTTGGAAGCTAAGCAGGGTCAGCCCTGGTAAGTATTTGGATGGGAGACCTCCAGGGAACTCTGGGCCTGTTATGCACAGGCAGGCAATGGCAAACCACCTCTGACAGTCTCTTGCCTTGAAAATCCTATAAGGTGTCGCCATAAGTTGGCGGTGACTTGACAGCATTACACACACACACTACAAGTGCACCAGCGAACAACTGTTTGTGCTCTCCCTGCACACCGAGGCTGCAAACCACACAGTGCATAGGGCTCTGGGAAAGCACAGGCCACCCTAGCTGGACAGGAAGCAACAGCAGACAGTTTGTCATGAAAATGCAAGTCGCACCACCATTGAGGAGAAGGGATCACACACGCCAGCCTCCAAGGCTTGTCTGGATGGCGGCAAACCACGCTAGTGTGTGCAACGGTCTCAAATCCCAGGTCAGTGGCCATGCAGGAAAAACAAAAAAACAAAAAGAAACTTTTGACACTTGAATGGCAATCCGTTTGTCAGTTTTTAAAGAGACAACCAACTCATTCTTTGTGTAGAGGGTTAAGGAGGCAGTCCACCCTTTGGCTCAGTCCCTGCATTAACAGCCTCTCTTCCCAAATTTCACTTTTTTCCTCTGCTGGGTGCGCTTCGGTAGTTTAAGATACAACACTTTGCAGCTCTCTCCCTACAGTGTTTGAAATGAGACTATAACGGGCACTTCTTTTATTCCATAAAGGCGCAAAAACGCCAGCTTGTGGGAGAGCTGCTTCGTGTGCATCACACGCAGGGGTCATTTCGTAGAAAAAGAGCTAGGGGAACTCATTAGCATAACTCATTAGCATATGCCACACCCCCTGACATCACCGGAAGTGTGTCATAAGGCCACACCCCCTGACATCACCGGAAGTGTGTCATAAGGCCACACCCCCCGCCCCCAACGGTCCCGGCCGCCACCGC